GTTACCGGAGCAAAAGTCCCCAGCTGAAATCCTGATGGGAAGAAGATTGAAAACGATTCACAGCCTGATGCATCCGACCAATGCACCCTCATCAGTAGAGACAAAGCAGCAAAGACAATCCGCTTACGAGGTGGGATGCCCTGTGTTTGCCGGCGACTACAGAACGAACCATGGTCCTTGGGTAGAAGCGAGAGTGGTCAGAAGGGTTGGTCGAGTTATGTACGAAGTAGGGGTGATAAATGGTCACGTCATCGCAATCAGATACGCAGACGGCTAGCCCCAGATCGCCCATCAAGAGCAGAAAGCCTTCCCCTTGACATCTTGCTTGATACCTTCAACCTACCGAGAGCCCCGCCACGAGAAGAAACTCAGCAGCAAGCTGTTCTTCGTTCCCGAAGGTATCCCCTCAGACAGCGGCGAACAATAGTCAAGACGCCTTATTATCATTAAGTAAAACCCTAAGAGGCTTTCTTACGGTGTCTTTCCTACGCCCAGTAAGCTTCAAACAAATACGCGCTCGCACTAGGGCATGATCTGAATCTAGACATGTGCTCCAGAACGAGCGACAGTCCTCTATCGAACCCCTCCATCGGTGGCTGATGGCGATGTGATCTAGTTGAGTCCAACGTTGAGACGACTTTGGAGGTCGCCAGGTCAACAGATGCTTTTCCTTATGCTTAAAGTTAGTGTTTGCTAAGAATAGGCAGTTGTCTGAGCATAGTTGCAACAGACGGTCACCATTGTCTGTTCTCTGAGCCGGGACACCATAACATTCACCTAGGTGTCTCTCCTGCTCACTTAGTCTACCTACTTGAGCATTAAAGTCACCAGCCATTAAAACAATATCAGAGCGCTTGACTTTTTGGAGGAGGTCCGAAAGCTTTCTGTAAAACTCATCCTTAACCTCGTCTGAACTGCAGTCAGTGGGGGCATAGGCAGATACGACGAAGAGGCAACGGCGATTGTCCCTATCTTTCCGAGTCCTTACTGTCCCGTTTAGTCAGACAGCGCACAATCGAATATCTATTGGGATCCAATCAAGGAGGGATTGTTCTGCCCTAGGACTCAATGCTATGCCTACGCCAGCAAGACCCCGAGAAGCAGCATCAGGGCTACCGGATACACGAAGAGTAAATCGAGCTGCTTCTTTATTTTGATATGGTGTGGCCAAGTGTATGAGGTGACTCGGATCCTGTATGCGCGTTTCAGAGACGCAGCATACATCGATGGCACGAGATTCCAAAGTCCTAGCTAATGATGCCTGTTGCCCTATTTGACACAATGTCCGTACATTGAATGCTCCAACATGTAGTCTAGAGCGAGGTTTAAGGAGACCAGGAACGACGTTTCGCGAACACGTATCGTTTGCATTAGCTGTGCACTGTGATGAATGAATGTGAGAAGAGTTAGTCGTGGAGATAAGAGAGGTACTAGAGGGTGTAGGAAGGATTTGATTTTGACCAATTCGGTCTCGCGTGCTGTTACGGGTATGAGGGCGGTTGTCACCTCCCGGCTGCCCACACCGTGGAAGGTTGTTTCTTGAGGAACCTGAAAAGGAAGATAGATTAGTGTTGGTGCGTGACCGCAGAGTCCAAGGGACAACTGCTTCAGGCCGGTCACGCACGGCCTTTTTATGAAATGTTTTTTGAGGATTAGCTCCGTTCTTAAAGGCCCTTAGTGGACACCCTTACACAAGGAGATGGAAATCCGTGAGTTAGGGGAGGTGTGACATTTTTAGGGCCGACCTTTTCTAACCCTTCCTTCCTTGTGGAAAGCGACATCGCTGCAGATGCTGGTTGTCCGAGGGAAACACCTTACTGCTGTCACACCCCTCTGCAGTCAGCAGTACGACTTCGCCCTCAGACCTTGGGTAGCTGCTTTTAGTCTCATCGTTCTCCAATCGACCTGCCTGGCATGGTAGAACCTTGAGGAACATATGTTCCAGCCAGTATAGCTCGGTTGGGTTATCACGATAGGCAAGCCCGACCACCACGTCAAGGTAGCAGCTACGGTCGGGTTGCTAGTAAAATACAAGAACATATGAAAAATGGGACAATAGTACCAGCTAGAATCACCTGTGGTTTATTATACCAAGTTGGTTTCGTTTTTCTTGTTATTTAGTATATATTATGGTCATTTTGGACTAAAGCTTTATCAAGTATTTGTTTTTTCTACTATAAGATCAAGCTAATTGTGTATACTACTTACACATACACAGTTTCCTGATAATGATCTTGTTCTATGAAAATAGCTTATCAGATATACATTGTTTGATTCTAGGTACTACTTTAAAACAAATATTGGTACAATAAGGCACCGAAATATATGTACGCCACAACAAAATTGAGGTTGTGAAGAGGTAGAAAAAATGATGAGTATGACAAAAAAGAATGAATGGAAATGAGTGTATGAGAGTGAAATAATAGCAGTGATCGTGATAGACGTAGTTCCGTTAAGAAACATACAACCGGGAAGGATTCTCACTTACTTGAAAAAATCAAAAACAGGTACAGCAGGACTGCCAAATAGTGATCGAAGTAGTAGGTGTGGGTACTAGTGAAAAACGGGCAAGGAAGTGTATGCCACAGTATATTTCTAGTGAATCTTGTTCGGGGAACAAAACGGTCAACAATTAGTGTTAGCTGTTATTCCATGTTACTAATGATGGTCCAATAATGAACCATTCATGATTCCAATGTAAAGTTCTAAACTACCTAGAACTATTACATTGTTGAGACTCGACTTTAAGAAGCGAAGATGAATCAAACTTCCAACTTACTAATTATTTATATAAATATGTGCAAAATTTAATAAGCCTAAAGTCATTTCACTGGAGTTGACTCTGAATAGATTGAAACTTAAACAATTTAATTACTACAAATAATAATCGAGGATTTGGATTACTTGCTTTCTAAGGATTATAATAGGTCTGATATGGTAATTAGAAATGACTGCTGAACAAGGGTTCGAGCAAACGTTTATAAATACGTGTCTTGTCGAATGGAAACCGTGAAAGAACCAAAACGAATCATCCGCTAATTTCTCACACGACAATTAAGATGATTTAAATAAGTTTCACAATTAATCATATCTTAATGATTTGAATAACATAAGACAGCTATAGCAGGAACATCTAGGCGTAGAATGAGACAGGTTCATAGGTGAATGGAAAACCAAAAACCAAATAGTACAAAAACTCAAACACCGAAAAGGCGGGAACTTTATCCTGTCACCATTTGCGAACCCAAAGTTAACCTACTCACTGTAAATACAATATATGAATTGAGTAATAATAAAAAATATAATGTAATGACTTTCATAAAGGAAATCCAACATGTTTCGTCTCGTCCAACCTAAACCACCATTTAGCCTCTTATAGTGTTAAATGCTTTCTTTCAAAAGCGGAGTTGCGTTCATGAGATCATTATTCGGTCAACACACACACACACAAAGGCGAGTAGGTAGTATAAAATTCATGTGAAATAGTATCTTATAACAATAAAAAGCAAAGAAAAATCATGTAGTTGGTTGTCATATAAAAATAACTTTTTAAATAAAGTAGATTCAAAAAACCAAATTAGAAAAATTGATTAAAATAAGTACTGATATAATTAGAAGTGTGAAAAAAAAATACCTGGAACGATAAAGTTGCCACACACACACATGACCGATAAGCAAAGATAACTTGCTTCATAACACTATTGTTGCTGTAATTGTTCATGCTTACCAGAAAGAAAGCACTGATGATGGTAGTTGATAATGAATGAGATGACTTAGATTAACACATATTAATATCGGTGTTAATTATTATTATGCATCGTTAAAGTAAATAGATTTGACAAATATATACAGGCATGAATAATATGCAAATAGCAAAATTCTCACTGTTTTTCTCATCAAATCATTGATTAGAAACCTTGTCGATCCGAATACTGACAAAAAGATATATACAAGTTCAAGTAAGTTTCTTTATAAATGATAAATGCAACTGACTGTTAATGTCATTCACATCACGATCATCATCATTGTCATTATACATAATAACAATAATAGCAACAATGTCACCTATTTGAAACCAAACCGACAGAATGTTCAACGTGTTAAGTATCTAAAAAAGAGTTGATAATACTTTGAGACCAATAATAGCAAAGAATGAGAGAACTTAACTAATTTTTGTTCAGAATAAAATATGGCCAGTTATTTTGTCAAAATTATTTTATCCCAATCATCAATACTGCTTATTACTGAATAATTGACAGATATATATATATATATATATATATATATATATATATATATATATATATATACATAAGGGATTAGTATAAGTAAGCATCAAATGATTATCAGCATAGTTCCATATATCATTTAAAAGATAGCAGTTTGTACAATAAAACAATAGGAATACATTTTTTAGTGTGAAGAAGGAAATATGAGCCTAACGAATTAAGACTAACGACCCACCAGCTTGAATTCAAGGTAAATATCGTCCAACCAAACACTCGGTAAAAATACACTTTTGCATACACACACTACTCTTCACAAAAAGAAGCAAACATAATAACAATCGAACACACGAAACAGGTAAGAGATTTCGAATAAATAGACAGATAAGAGATATTCATGATGAGCCATCAATAACATTAGGATGATTTGCTGTGAAAGACATTATACACGGAGATTTCACGGAGGAATCAATAGTTAACTGACTATTACATTTAGGAATTTTTAAAAGTCTATTAGAAACACATTTATCTGCTGGTGCTGCTGTTGTTGAAGATGAAAAAGATTCAGCTTGAGTAATCGGAGCAACATGCTCATGGTTTGAATAAAACGTCCATTGTGTACCGCGTACAGGGATAACAGCACGCGATGTAGTCTGACTGGTAGCGGGAGTAGTTATTGTAATATCAGACAATAGAGCAGGAAAAAGTGATGAAGAATTTGAATGAATTTTATGTTTTTCATTTGATGAGTTGCCATAATTATTTAAGACACGTCTACGTTTTGATTTACTAAGATTTTCCTCATCAGAAACACCAACTTCGGATTCGGGGAAGGTTTGAGCATACATATGTGACCTGCTGTCAAATTTATTTTCTGTCACCAGAGAATTTATGTCACTATCAACTGGTGGATCACTATAAGACTTGGGAGATTCCAAAGACTGTCGGCCAGTTTCGATGCCTGGATCCAAAATGAGCTCTTCATTATATAGACTAGCGTTTTGAGAACTTTGCAAATGTTCAGAAGATAAACTAATAACATCTGATTTTGTTTTCTCAAGTAACAACATGTTTTTAGCTTTGACATCAATTGAGGAATTTATAATTCCAGCGCAATCCACTGGTTCAAGTTTTTGTAGTTCAGAAGCCAAGAATTCAGCAGTACTTTGAGTTAACTGTAGTCTTTGTTGCAGCATCACTAGGGAACTACCGAGCATTTCCGTTTCAGTCTCCGCTTCCTCCACCAAATATTCCATATCTTCAACAACAAAAAATAAGACGTTTATAGAATATTCAACTAGTAAACACAAACAAAATAAGAACAACTATTAAAAACTGGAGAGCTGGTTGAAATGGGTAAGTTTTTCATCATTCAATTAAACATTTATTGCTTAAAAGCATTAGACAAAAAAGAAAAACTAACCTTGCATACAGTTTATAAGTTAAACGTTTGGAAAGAATCTCACTATGGTCAACAAAGTCCTTAACGGGAAGGACAGAAGCAACTAAGAAATTTTAGTGTTTAAAAATTAGGCAAATAGCAAACACGATTTCGTGAATGTTACTCTTCTTCTTGATTATGACACAACAGCTAGGAAAAATTTTCAAGGGAACAGAACTTTAAAATAGGTTTCGCAGTCATCTCATAAGGGTGAAATCGACATCTTGGGTAAGTATAACAATATGCAGCGAACGCAGCACAGGAAGGAGAGATCTACTACCAATCATTTGTTCATAGAAAAGAAATATGTCAGTTTTTCGGAAAACTTCGGAATTCGAAAATATGTTCACTAAAGTAGACTCTAATTGTGTATGAACCATTCATGATGAGAGTTCAATATTAAAAAAAAGCAGCAAACATAAATACTGAAGACGAAGATTAGATTGCTTCGACGGAATTTCGCTAACTGAGGAAAGTAAAAGAGTAACGAGAATTGGGATATCAATTTTTGGATGTATGTATAATTATCCATCTGTAACTTGAACACTACCACAGTGAGCAAACGCGAAAATTTCAATGAACTGCCGTTTCAGACAGATTTGCCTAGTTCTTAATGAATACACATTATTATTGAATAATTTTACATAACTGTGAGAGAAAACTGTTACCGTTACTGCCAGCCACAAGCTAGGATAAAGGAAGAGGGTTGACAATGGAGTAAGCGACCACCTCCCGAAAAATATAACCTGCAAACAAAACTCTAACCAGAAAAAACAATGCGAACTCTGTCATCGGAATTGGATGGTTTTTACTCATAAAGATTTTCACGCCTCATGATGAAAGCCAACTTTTTTCGAAAGTCACAAGCATGATACTCCTTCTGACACCCAACGGAATAATTAATACATGTACATGAGACAGACAGAAAGATGCAACACAGAACTTAGTACGTACGTACATCATTTCAGGTTGCCATCAGTCAGTCAGTCAGATGCAACGTAGAACTTTGTACATAAGTACATCAGTTCATGTTGCCATACCACATCAGCACAGAGAAGTAATCGTCAATTCAAATCCAATAGTATAAGAGGTAGTAAGGGAATTAGAAATAATCGGAGAGGTTAGGATTAGAAGATACTATTCAAGAAGTATGATTCAGTGAGAAAAGTTTAGAGAGTCGAAACTAGAGGGGTTGAAGAATCCAGAAGATTAGCATTTGAGAGAACATAGAGAATAAATGCACCGGCGCCATTGCGAACGATTCTGAGCCATGTCATTCAAGGTCTCTAACCATCGATTATTATCATCTCGCGGACCCCAACCAGGTAGTCGACAATTACCGACATGGCTCAGTCCACTAGTCAATGACTTCATGGATTTCTGCCATGTTTTGGTTTGGCCGCCCCTAGCTTTCTTCCAACCTATTCCCACACTACAAAACAAGGCTCGACGAGGCAGCCGGTGGTTGGGCATACGCAACACATGTCCCAACCACCTCAACTGGTGAAGTTTCAATACTTCATCGATTGATCTGCCATTCTTACCTAGCACCCGATTCCTAATAACAGCGTTGCTCACTCGGGTGTCCCACGATATACGAGCAATGCTTCGAAGACACCTATGATCGAAAACCAGTAACCTACGAATATCTTCTACTCTCACTGGCCATGTTTCACAGCCATAAAGTAAGACGGAGCGAACTACTGCGCAGTACACTCGTCCTTTAGTCAGCAAACGGATATCTCGCCTACGCCATAAGTGACGCAGGTTGGCAAAAGCCAATCGAGCCTTCTGTATCCGTGCTGAGATTTCGTCAGTCACCAGGCCATCGGCACTGATGAGACTCCCAAGATAAGTGAAGCGGTCTACACGTTCGACTACTTCACTCCCTATCACTAGTTCAGGTGCCGATGCAACCCAGTCTTGAAGCAACATTTTGCATTTCGAGGGGGAAAACCGCATCCCGAACATGCTTGCATTGTTGCTTAGGGTAGTCAGAAGACTCTGCATTTTGTCAGCGTCTTCACCAAGTAGGACAATGTCATCGGCATATTCTAAGTCAATAAGCGAGCCACCTGGTAGAAGGTCTACTCCAGAAAATTCAGACGAGGATAATGTTAACTCTAGGAGCATGTCTATGATAAAATTAAACAAGAATGGAGAAAGTGGACATCCCTGACGGACACCACTTGAAGTAGAGAATTCCGGTGACAGTTCGCCATAAGCCCTCACCCGACCAGTGGTGTTCGAGTAAAGAGCTTGTATAAGGTTAATGTACTTCTTTGGTACACCTCTCAATGACAGACACTGCCACAGAACCTTACGATCAACAGAGTCGAATGCCGCCTTAAGGTCTAGGAAAACAACTATTGTAGGACGCCTAAATGTGTGTCTATGTTCCAGGACCTGTCTGAGTGTGAAGACGTGGTCTATACAGCCACGTCCAGGTCGAAAACCAGCCTGGTTTTCTCGAGTCTGCTCTTCACGAGCTTTCGTTAAGCGTCGAAGTATTATTGAGGCCAATATTTTAGATACTATATTAGTTAGACTTATTCCCCTGTGATTGTCACAAGAAGACTTCTGTCCTTTCTTATAGATTGGGACAATCAAGGATTGAGACCAGTCGGATGGGATTACGTCCAGTTCCCAGATTCTACCTAAGATCTCAGTCAATCTAGCTGCTAAAACTGGACCACCATCCTTAAATATCTCAGGGGTCAGTCTATCAGGACCTGCAGCTCGTCCTCGTTTCAGATTTCCTAACGCTTTTTCAACTTCATTAAGACTAGGTGGACTTAGGTCGATTTGCCATTCAGGATGACTGGAGATCGTGGGTAACCGAAGAGTGGCTCGTGGCCAGTTGAACTGATCCCTAAAGTGTTCTGCCCATCGATCCAGTCTCCTGGATTGAGAATGGATAATAAGACCATCCTTTTCCGAGATAGTCTCACTTACACTATGATTCCTAATACCAGTTTCTTTAATAAGGCGGAAAAGTTGTCTAGTGTTGCCTATCGCCGCTGCCTTTTCCATCGCTTTTGCTTTCGCCACCCACCACTGCTCGCGGTCGTTACGCAGACTTTTTATAAGTCTGCGCCTAAGCTGACTACGCTCTTCATCATGCTCAGAGTCAGGTGGGATGCGTTTTCGAGCATCCATCAGTTCGGTGGATGCTACTGAGATCCACGGTTTCATTCTAGCCTTATGGTCAACCTTACTAGCAGATATCACTGCTGTTTCCACAGCCTTTTTGATATCATTCCATCCTGCTTCCGGATGGGAATCGCTTAAATGGTCGCCTAACTGTCTTTCTAGTTGCTCCTGAAATATTTTCTTGGTTTGATTATCATTGAGTAAAACCCTGAGAGGCTTTCTTACGGTGTCTTTCCTACGTCCAGTAAGCCTTAAACAGATACGAGCTCGCACTAGAGCATGATCTGAATCCAAACATGTGCCCCAGAACGAGCGACAGTCTTCTATCGAACCCCTCCATCGGTGGCTGATGGCGATGTGATCTAGTTGAGTCCAACGTTGAGACGACTTCGGGGGTCGCCAGGTCAACAGATGCTTTTCCTTATGCCTAAAGTTGGTGTTCGCTAAGAATAGGCGGTTATCTGAGCATAGTTGCAACAGACGGTCGCCATTGTCTGTTCTCTCAGTCGCTACACCATAACATCCACCAAGATGTCTTTCCTTTTCACCTAGTCTACCTACTTGAGCATTAAAGTCACCAGCCATTATTACTATGTCAGAGCGCTTAGCTTTTTGGAGGAGGTCCGAAAGCTTTCTGTAAAACTCATCCTTAACCTCGTCTGCACTGCAGTCAGTGGGGGCATAGGCAGATATGACGAAGAGGCAACGGCGATTGTCCCTATCCTTCCGAGTCCTTACTGTCCCGTTTAGTCGGACAGCGCACAAACGACTATCTACTGGGATCCAGTCTAGGAGAGATAATTCTGCCCTAGGACTCAACGCTATGCCTACGCCAGCAAGACCCCTGGAAGCAGCATCAGGGCTACCGGATACACGAAGAGTAAATCGAACTGCTTCTTCGTTTTGACAAGGTGGAATCAGGTTAATGACTTTACTAGGATCCTGTATGCGCGTTTCCGAGACGCAGCATACATCGATGGCACGAGATTCTAAAGTCCTAGCTAATGATGCCTGTTGCCCTATTTGACACAATGTCCGTACATTAAAAGCTCCAACATGTAGTCTAGAACGGGGTTTCAAGAGACCAGGAACGACGTTTCGTGATCTCGCTTCGTCTGCATTAGCGGTGCAGTGAGAAAAGGGAGTGTGAGTACAGTTAGTCGTAGAGATAAGAGAGACATGAGGGGGTGTAGGAAGGATTTGATTTTGACCAATTTGGTCTCGCGTGCTGGTACGGGTATGAGGGCGGTAGTCACTTCCCGGCTGCCCACACCGTGGAAGGTTGTTTCTTGAGGGACCTGAAAAGGAAGATGGATTAGTGTTGGTGCGTGACCGCAGAGTCCAAGGGACAACTGCTTGAGGCCAGTCACACACGGCCTTTTTATGAAACGTTTTTTGAGGATTAGCTCCGTTCTTAAAGGCCCTTAGTGGGCACCCTTACCCAAGGAGACGGAAGTCCGTGAGTTAGGGGGAGTGTGACATTTTTAGGGCCGACCTTTTCTAACCCTTCCTTCCTTGTGAGAAGGCAGCATCGCTGCAGATGCTGGTTGTCCGAGGGAAACACCTTACTGCTGTCACACCCCTCTGCAGTCAGCAGTACGACTTCGCCCTCAGACCTTGGGTAGCTGCTTTTAGTCTCATCGTTCTCCAATCGACCAGCCTGGCATGGTAGGACCTGCAGGAACATATGTTCCAGCCAGTATAGCTCGGTTGGGTCATCACGATAGGCAAGCCCGACCACCACGTCAAGGTAGCAGCTTCGGTCGGGTCAGGTTGCCATACCACAAAACAGCACTGAGACGCAACTGTCAGCTCAAAACAAAGAGTGGTAGCGATAGTAGAAGTATTAGCAGTAATGGAGAAGATTAGCGTTCAAAAATATGACTCGAGATGCATAATTCAGAAGGTTAGAATTTCAGAGAACACAAAGAGTGGATGCACCTGCGTCATTGCAAACGATTCTGATCCATGTCGTTCAAGGTCTCCAAACATTGGTGACTTTCGTCTCGCGGACCCCAACCAGGTAGCCTACATCTACCAACATGGCTCAGTCAGCTTGTCAGTGACTTCATGGATTTCTGCCATGTTTTGGTTTGGCCGCCCCTAACTTTCTTCCAACCTACTCCACTACAAAACAAAGCTCGTCGAAGCAGTCGGTGGTCAGGCACACGTAACACATGTCCCAACCATCTCAACTGATGAAGTTTCATTACTTCATCTACTGATCTGCCATTCTTACCTAGCACCCGATTCCTAATAACAGCGTTGCTCACTCGGGTGTCCCAGGATATACGAGCAATGCTTCGAGGACACCTGTGATCGAAAACCAGTAACCTACGAATATCTTCTACTCTCACTGACCATGTTTCACAGCCATATAGAGTAGGACGGAGCAAACTACTACACAGTACGCTCGTCCTTTAGTCAGCAAACGGATATCTCGCCTACACCATAAGTGACGCAGGTTGGCAAAAGCCAATCGAGTCTTCTGTATCCGAGCTGAGATTTCGTCAGTCACCAGGCCATCGGCACTGATGAGACTCCCAAGATAAGTGAAGCGGTCTACACGTTCGACTACTTCACTCCCTATCACTAGTTCAGGTGCCGATGAAACCCAATCTTGGAGAAACATTTTGCATTTCGAGGGGAAATACTTTATCTCGAACATGCTTGCATTGTTGCTTAGGGTGGTCAGAAGACTGCATTTTGTCAGCGTCTTCACCAAATAGAACTACGTCATTGGCATATTCTAGGTCAGTAAGCGATTTTCCTGGTAGAAAGTCGACTCCTGAAAATTCAGACGAAGATAATGTTATATCTAGCAGCATGTCTATGACAATAAACAAAAATGGGGAAAGTGGACATCCCCGGCGGACACCACTTGAAGTAAAGAATTCCGATGACAGTTCTCTCTAAGCTCTCACCCTACCAGTAGTTTTAGAGTAGAGAGCTTGTTGTTTTGCGGATCCCAACCAGGTAGTTAGTCTACGCCTGTTATTCGAAATGTAGCATAGGCCTGACATTACATGACATGCACTGACACGGATGCAGAAGGCTCGGCTGACTTTGGTCAACTTGCGTCATTTATGCCGGAGGCGAGATATCCATCTACCAACAAAAGGATGAATGTACGGCGCAGCGGTTCACTCCCTCCTAGTTCATGGCTATGAAACAGCATGTAAAAGTAGAGGATATTCATCTATCTTTCTGTTTTCATACTTTTCGAATCATATATTTGAACCGTTATCTTTTCCATTACCGCTAATGCTTCTACTGCCTCTAGCACTATTGGTTTGAATTGACGATTGAGCCTCTGTGCTAATGTAATATGGCAACTTGAACTCATGTACGTAAGTACGTTCTGCGTTGTCACTGACTGATTAACAAGTTTTTAATAGTGTAATGATAAAATGACATACGGTAATTTCCTGAAACTAGGAAGCAATCATTGAGAGAAATCTTACTGTCGACAATATAAAGAAGACGATGTTAGATCCCCAGAACTCGGTCAATAAATATCTTTATTTTAGATTTGATTCATGGGCCGATCAGTTGACCTTGAGATCACATTTCTCACCAGGAAAATCCTCGGCTGTGATTGGTTAATGTGTCATTTCAGTGTGCTATTTTTGTGACTGTCCCAAGGACGTCTCTATGGGGTATAAATAAACGCAAGTTGTGTGCTTGGATTCATTCTGTGCTGGCTGGGTGTTTGTAGAATACACTTTCTACACTATATCAAGACATCCTGGTACAATTGGAACAATCGGATTACAGTAGCCGACCTGGACGATGGTTCGTTGTTTTGTTCCCGTTATTCGGCTAAGGTGAACCCGTAATAGTTTTCGGCATACCTAGAGATCAGCGTAACAAATAGTGAGCTTGATAAACACATATGTACTGTTCCACAAAATCTTATACGTGCTCAATGCATAAATATTTCCGGTGAGCTGATAAATTAGTGGAACAATCTGTTTATATTTCATTAACATTGACAACACACCTTAGTACCTTAAACCTTATTTTTCATACATACACACACCTACCTGAATGAGCATTCTTCAAGTCATTCACGAATGCACGACGCAAAGATATTTCCGATTCTATGCGAGCAGTTCGGCCAGTACGATTAACATTTGCTAGTTCTTCATTTTCATGTTCAAGAACACGAATACGCATCATCATTCTCTTGCCATTTTGACTAATAGTTGAAAGAATAAGAATGAAACAAACCGCACTTTTACTCAGTTAACACTTAGTATATCATTACCTCCATAATTGGAACGTGAAAAAAAGAAACTTGATGCATTCAAACAATAAAAAAATAATCCTTACGGATCCCGGTGATAAGTTGGTAAAACGAATAGAGCTGTGCTGTGTGAAAAAACTTAGGTGCTAAATATATGAAAAAATCAAGTCATTTTGCTTAGGCTTACTTACTTACTTACGCCTGTTACCCCCAATGGAGCATAGGCCGCCCACCAGTATTTTGCTTAGGCACGAATGTCTTAATATTAATCGTATAGCCTTGTACACCTTAATGCTATTAGACAAGTGACCAAATATGCTACTGCAACTTTCGTAAGACTGGATTTATAAAGCGTTTTTAATTTAAGTGCCAACTTAAATTAATAACATATTTTTCACCACTTCAACCTACCTGTTTTGAGTAAAAGTAAACGATTGCAGCTCAGACTGATTAGCTGCAACAAGTTTATCAAAATTAAACTGTGTACGGCGTAAACGAGATAATACCAAGTTAACAGAAGAATCAATTAATACATCTGCATAGTCTGGAACATCTTTAATGGGTGGTTCATTGTCTGTAGGAAGTTTGGTTGACTGTGAATGAATTCCCGACAACAGTAAACCACGAGTATGGGTAACCGATTTGACACTAGTTAGAGAATGATTAGGATAGGGGGTAGGTAGAAGAGCCCCGCCTTTTGAATTAGTAGTACGAGGCATTGTATTTGCAGGACCCAACAAACTATCTACAGGCTTAGTTGACCCACTAACCAAAGATGGAACAGGACGAACATTGGAACCAATTGTACAACTTGAAGTAGTCTGGTGCTTGTTGGCATCAATGTCACATGCATTTGAACGAGGTACTGAAGGGAGCTAAGAAACAATGTAAAACAAGGAAAAGGATAAACAAGTATAAGAAATACTGATTCGACTGATAACTTGCATTTACCATGATGAGTCACTCATACATACAATAGCTCACCAGCAATATGTGACTCGAATCAGATTATTGCTAAAACTAAACAATCTATACTACTGATTACTAGGTGGATGGCACATAAGGTACTTCGAGAATCCAAGGGGTAAAAACTTATGATTTATTAATATAGTAACTTTCTTTTGAACGTTAATTCCCTACGTATTGTTAATGCAATTTCCTACAGTCTAGCAAATTTATTACAGAATATATTGAATAGATCACTGAACAGGTTTACAACATATATTGCCCTCCAAGCAAATATGGGATAAAAAACTTCCTCCAGAATGGTATGACCTTGTAGAAAAGTCTTCACAACCTTAGAGATCATATTTTCCAGAAGCGATTTCAAATCCCGACCTTGGTTACCTTGAAGCATTAACTAATATTTTTACCTGAAGAAACTAAAAACCTACTTTGAGAAGGGTTTATGAGGTCACGAATTATCGCAGAATCAAAAGATGTAATTTACTAGCAAACAGGGACTATCTATAATGGAAGCACGTTGACAAAATACAAGGCTATTCATAATTTCGAAACCCCAATATTCTATAGATTAGACTCAATTGTCAATTCAAATCCCATAGTGATAAAGATAGTGGAAGTACTACTGGTAAAGGGGAAGATTTGGGTTCCAAGATATTATTCAAGAAGTATAATTCAGCGAGATTATTTTGGAAAGACAAAGGTAGAAGTGTTGACTAATCCAGAAGATTAGGATTTGAGAGAACACAAAGAGTGGATGCACCTGCGTCATTGCAAACGATTCTGAGCCATGTCATTTAAAGTCTCCAACCATTGGTGACTTTCGTCTCGCGGACCCCAACCAGGTAGCCTACATTCATCAACATGACTCAGTCCACTTGTTAGTGATTTTATGGATTTGTGCCATGTTTTGGTCTGGCCAACCCTAACTTTCTTCCAACCTACTCCTACATCACAAAACATCTCTCGTCGAGGCATTTGGTGGTTGGGCATACGTAACACATTCCCTAAACACCCCAACTGAAGTTTCAATACTACATCTAGTGACTTGCCATTCCAACGTAATACTCGTTTTATAACGACATCACTGCTTACTCGGTTGTCCCAGGATACACAAGCAATGCTACGAAGACATCTATAATCGAATACTAATAACCTAAAAATATCCTCAACTCTCACCGACCATATTTCACAGTCATAAGATAGGACGAGGCGAACTGCGGCGCAGTAGACTCGTGCTTTGGTTAACAAACGCATATCTCGCCTATTTCATAAGTGATAAAAGTTGGCAAAAGCCAATCGAGCCTCTTCTATCCTTGCTGAGACAAAGCATTGGGAAATAAGGAAACCTCTACATATCTGGACAGCATTATTAACAAACAAGGTGGGTCTGAAGTTATAGAGACATGGATTGGCAAAGCAAGGGCAGTATTTCTAAGATTGAAGAACATCTGGAGCTCAAAACACCCGTCAACCAACACTGAAGTCAGAATTTTCAATATGAACACCAAGGCAGTTCTATTACATAGAGCACGGACTTGAAGGACTACGAAAGACATTATCCAAAAGATACAGGTGATTATTAACAGTTGTCCCCGACCGAAGCTGCTGCCTTGACGTGGTCGTCGGGCTTGCCTATCGTGATGACTCAACCGAGCTATATTGACCGCAACACATGTTCCTCAAAGTTGGGCTCTGTGGTCACACTCCCAGGTCGTTAAGACCAACACTAATCTATCTTCCTTTTCAGGTCCCTCAAGAAACAACCTTCCATGGTGTGGACAGCCGGGAAGTAACAACCGCTCGTAACAGAACACTAGACCAAATTGGTCACAATCAAATCCTTCCTACACCCCCTAACATCTCTCTTATCTCCACGACTAACTCTTCTCACATTCTTTTATCACACTGTACAGCTAATGCAAGCGATGAGCGTTCTCGAAACGTCAATTCTGGTCTCCCGAAACCCTGTTCTAAATTGCATGTTGGAGCATTTAATGTCCGGATATTGTGTCAATTAGGGCATTACAATCTCGCGCCATCGATGCTTGCTGCGCCTCGGAAACGCGCATGCAGGTCATTGGTTTGATTTCACCTTGTCGAAATAAAGAACCTACTCGACTTACTCTTCGTGTATCTGATAGCCCGTAAGCTTTTTCCCCGCAGTCCTTGGGCAGGAAAAGCCCTCCTAGACTGGATCCCAATAGATAGTCGCTTGTGCGCTGTCCGACTGAACGGGACAGTAAGGACTCGGAAAGATAGGGACACCCGTTGTTGCCTCTTCGTCGTATCTGCCTATGCCCCTACTGACTGTATTTCAGACGAGGTGGAAGATGAGTTCTACAGAAAGCTTTAGGACCTCCTCCAAAAAGTTAGGCGCTCTGATGTAGTAATAATAGCTGGTGACTTCAATGCTCAAGTAGGTAGACTAAGTGAAAAGGGAAGACATCTGAGTGGATCTTATGGTGTCGCGGCCCACAAAACAGGCAATGGCGACCGTCTGTTGCAACTATGCTCAGATATCCAATTATTTCTAGCAAACACTAACTCTAGGCATAAGGAAAAACATCTTTTGACCTGGCGACCCCCGAAGTCGTCTCAACGTTGGAACCAACTAGATCACATCGCCATCAGCCACCGATGGAGGGGTTCCATAGAGGACTGCCACTCGTTCCGGGGAACATGTTTAGATTCAGATCATGCCCTAGTCCGAGCGGGTATTTGTTTGAGGCTTACTGGACGTAGGAAAGACAATGTAAGAAAGCCTTTTACGGTTTTACTTAATGATAATAAGGCGAAAAATATATTTCAGGAACAACTAGAAAAAGAGTTAGGCGACCATGTAAGCGATTCCCATCCGTAGGCAGGTTGGAATGATATCAAAAAGGCTGTGGAAACAGCAGTGATATCTACTGCTAAGGTAAACCATAAGGCTGTAATGAAGCCGTGGATCTCTGTAGCATCCACCAAACGGATGGATGCTCGAAAACTCATCCCACCTGACTCTGAACATGATGAAGAACGAAGTCAGCTTAAGCGCAGACTGATAAAAAAGCCTACATAACGATCATGAAGAGTGGTGGGTGGAGAAAACGAGCGAGATGGAAAAGGCAGCGGCGAAGGGCAATAGTAGGCAACTATTTAGCTCATCAAGGAAACTGGTATTAGAAACCCGAATATGAGTGAGACTATCGCGGAAAAAGATGGTCTTATTAACGATCCTCAATCCAGGAGACTGGATCAATGGGCAGAACACTTCAGGGATCAGTCCAACTGGCCTTCAGTCACACTTTGGTTGCCCACGATCTCCAGTCATCCTGAATGGCAAGTCGACGTAAGCCCTCCGAACCGTTATGAAGTTGAAAAGGCTATAGGAAATCTAAAGCGAGGGCGAGCAGCAGGTCCTGATAGACTGACCCCTGAGATTTTTAAGGATGGTGGTCCAGCTTTAGCAGCTAGATTGACTGACATCTTAGGTAGAATCTGGGAACTGGACACAATCCCATCCGACTGGTCTCAATCCCTGATTGCCCCAATTTATAAGAAAGGAAAAAAGTCCTCTTATGACAATCACAGGGGAATAAGTCTAACTAATATAGTTTCTAAATTGTTAGCCTCCATTAAACTTATACGTCTAACTAGAGCTCGTGAAGAGCAGACTAGAGAAAACCAGGCTGGTTTCAGACCTGGGCGTGGATGTATAGACCACATTTTCACACTACGACAGGTTCTGGAACACAGGCATACATTTAGGCATCCTACAATAGTTTTCTTCCTGAAACTTATGGCGGCATTCGACTCTGTGAATCGTGAGGTTCTGTGGCAGTGTCTGTCATTGAAAGGTATACCAAAGAAGTACATTAACCTTATACAAGCTCTCTACTCTAAAACTACTGGTAGGGTGAGAGCATATGGCGAACTGTCATCTGAATTCTCTACATCAAGTGGTGTCCGCCGGGGATGAGCTTTGTTTTGTAGTGGAGTAGGTTGGAAGAAAGTTAGGGGCGGCCAAACCAAAACATGGCAGAAATCCATGAAGTCACTGACAAGCTGACTGAGCCATGTTGGTAGATGTAGGCTACCTGGTTGGGGTCCGCGAGACGAAAGTCACCAATGTTTCGAGACCTTGAACGACATGGATCAGAATCGTTTGCAATGACGCAGGTGCATCCACTCTTTGTGTTCTCTGAAATTCTAACCTTCTGAATTATGCATCTCGAGTCATATTTTTGAACGCTAATCTTCTCCATTACTGCTAATACTTCTACTATCGCTACCACTCTTTGTTTTGAGCTGACAGTTGCGTCTCAGTGCTGTTTTGTGGTATGGCAACCTGAAATGATGTACGTACGTACGAAGTTCTGCGTTGTATCTATCTATCTATCTATTAACAGTTGTCTACTCAGGATACTGCGGATACTTTGGCCAGACACTATCAACAACAGCCTGCTGTGGGAGACAACAAACAAGATTCTAGCTGAGGAAGAAATCAGCAAGAAGCACTGGAGGTGGATAGGGCATACATTTGGGAAATCATCCGACTGCATCATAAGGCAAACCTAGACGTGGAATCCTCAACGCCAAAGGTAAAGAGGTAAACACACACTGCACTGAAAAACGGAGGGACATGAAATGAATCAATAGCAATGGGGAACAGATGGAAAGGAAGGACAAGGGAAGAATTAATTAGAGGATGCTAGTCAGCGGCCTAAGCTTCATTAGGGGGTGACAGGCGTAAGAAAGAGAAACCTTATGGATACCAAAAGTGACGTCCTAAAATGTCAGAAGGACGCTGAGAGTTTTTGGTTACTACAATGTCAGTCGTTAGTGAACACCGTAAGCTTGGATAAATTGCATTTTTCTGTATCTCATTTAATATACCCACAATAGAGAGCACTTTCGACATAAATCATCTACTGAGTAATGCTCAATGCACAAAGCTCTAAATCCCTGACAATTATTAATAACATTCAGAAGACTGTAAATCGAAGGTGTGTTGAGCAGCCATAGCTGAATGTGTATAACATTCAAACAGACAAGTAGCTACGGATAAAAGTGATATCTCGAAATGGTAGTTGAATTTGTCGGTAGTGTGACCGGTTATTCACTATGATTATTATATCTTGAGGTGATACTTCACTAATCAGGTTGATAAAATAAGTATTTACTGGTTCAAAACCAGTAATAATGAACCAAACAGATGGACTTTGGTATTGTTACGAGGGAATCGTAAATCAGAACATTATTGTCGACTTTAGTCTGATTGATTTCTCCATGATGCCGCAAAAGTGTAATTTGATGAATCATCACTCATCGTAGTAATGACAGGAAAACTTCCCAAAACGTTGTTGTTAATATTCAAACCCAAAAACATTGATGAAAAGAAACATCTAAATGTTTATGGAACACAGATAATTTAATTAATAAGTTTATCACTCTCTAAGCGGTTAATCTGCAGGTCTAATCCACAAGGCGGTGGAGCAACATCAATGGATGAAGCCACATACTGGCTGGTTTACAAACCATTAGTTCTCTCAGGTTCCTGAAGCCCATATGCACCATCGGTTTGGGATTAAGATTTTCCCATTCCAGTGGATGGATTCTGTGTAACCATCAACCTAGTTCAAGTGTCGGACGTTCGCTCTTCGTCCTACTAATTTCGTGAACACTCCCGCAACGAGAAGGCAGTGAGTAGGACTTCTCTGGCAATGGCTACACGCACGAAGTCATGCAGAAGCATTCTGAGGAGAGTGGACTCTCTCCACAGCATTTGAAAGTCAACAAAATTACAAGGAATTCATCAAAAAAAACGCTACGATGGGATAGCACAGGAAAAGTTGACCGATCAAAAGATACGGATTAAATCGGAGGGCAATCATTAAACATCATCAAGATTACAGGAAAATAAAGAATTGTCAAACCTGAGTTTTACAACCTCGACTACGAAGCCGTAATGTGATAGCAAATTTCAACACAACATAACCGTCCTTTCGGTGGTATCATAAAGCGATTACATATACATCCTATTAGAGCATCGGTTGACAACTTGCAGCACCAAGGAACCAGAACGACACGCACAAAACGAGTCAGAGCAACAGAAACCAGTTCTGAGATCCAATTGTCGATAGAATAGTGTTCCCCACCACAACTACTACATGTTTTCGCGATCCAGAAGTACTTTGGTAGTGGAATCATTTGAAGATAACTATTACTAAACAGTAAGTTCTCGATGTCCTTGACTCGAATAAAATAAAAACCATGTAGCGAGATTAGTCGTATATTAAGAAAAATGTATGTATGCCCGACTGTCTTATCTGGTCTTCATGCAAGAGCTTTCTCACAGAATTAAGGGATATTACAGGTACTACCCTCTATAGCAGATATTTAAGGATAGACCTGCCTGATGAATCACAGGCAGCTTCCATTCCAAAAATACCACTAGTGAACTGAAAAATATGTAACAAGTATTCGGTCAACTGCATAGATCCAATCAACGTACGAAGTAACAGAAACTTGGGACACGCCTTGATTTCGTTGCTTTACATGTAATGCATGATCACAGTAACGTTTCAGAGGTAATCTGCGACAAAGTTTAGCCCCGAATGGTCGTTGCAGACGGAAATTTTTCGGAAGCGATAAACCATACCTAATTGGTTATCTTTTGAATGATCCAGTTGGCCGTGGTAGAATAATTTAGAACTCCTTTTTTAGGTAGACAGGCATAAGCTGTCCTTATTAGGAAGTTTTTGGAGTTTAGAGCTCGTGGTTTAAACTGAGACCTTGCATTTTGGGCGGATCCCTTTATGTCGATCATGGAGCCCAACACAAGCCACTCTAGATTGTTAGAGCAGACTGATTGGACGGCCTAGTAAAATATTCTATACAGTATTGGAGATGAATATGAATATCGCTAACAAAAGACAGTTTTCACGACAAAATGATACAAGCTGAAAAACTACGGAATACCAGAGTACTAAATAAATAATTCGGTTGATTTCTGTGTACTCCAAAAGTGTAAACTCATGACCTTACACTAGAATAAACCAGGACTCACAAGTATCAATATCAGATACTTTCAAACAACATGCATGAATACAAGTTGAGAATCGACATAGAGTATTTTGCTGTATCAAGTTTAATAAGTCAAAAAATTGTGGTGTAATACCATAATGGATATCTCCCTGAAATAAAAGCTTTGATGTGAAAACGTGCAGGTCTCTACAGTACTAGTAGATAAGCCTTAATGATAACAATTGCACTGCTGCCTGCTTCTAATAGTCTAGTCTTAGCATGGTTTTCTTTGAAAGTTATTCAGTCATTATTAACGTAGAGTCTGGCGCATACCTGGACTGGATTTAGCTCACACGCCACATCAGAGCACGTACATGAAATTATCAAGATGAATACAAAAGTAGTAGGACTATCAGTGATGGTGATAAAAATATTAGACAATATGATTTGAGAATCCGATGAATAAAATGATTCTAAAACATATCCTAGATTTGCAGGTATGAAATTCGCCCCAGAAACGGTGATTCGAATTTCACTGATTAGAAGTTCTTCCGTACGTTTCTCAACAATTTATATGGATTTGTATCAGTCAGTCAGTTACAACGTAGAACTTTTTACGTACGTAAATCACCTCAAGTTGCCATACCACATTGGCAGAGAGACTCAATTGTCAATTCAAACCAATGGTGATAGAGGTAGAAGTATTAGCGGTGATCGAAAAGATCACGGTTCCAGGATATTACTCAAGTATAATCCAGTGAAACGAACTTAAAAAAGAAAGATAAAGATGATGAGGAATTCAGAAGATTGGAATTCGAGAAAACACAAAGAACGGATGCACCTGCGACATTGCAAACGATTTTGAGCCATGTCATTCAAAATCCCTAACGAGTGTGTTGGTTGGATGACTAATAAGAAGTTACGCGAATCAGGTTACATTGCCAAGATGCACACACATTTCCGCAGTTGCTGAACAATTAAAAATGTCCTAGTACGGCCATAAAGAAGTCCACTTTATTCTCAGAATGCTTCTGCATGACTTCGTGCGTGTAGCCATTGCCAGAGAAGTCCTACTCACTGCCTTCTCGTTGCGGGAGTGTTCACGAAATTAGTAGGACGAAGAGCGAACGTCCGACACTTGAACTAGGTTGATGGTTACACAGAATCCATCCACTGGAATGGGAAAATCTTAATCCCAAACCGATGGTGCATATGGGCTTCAGGAACCTGAGAGAACTAATGGTTTGTAAACCAGCCAGTATGTGGCTTCATCCATTGATGTTGCTCCACCGCCTTGTGGATTAGACCTGCAGATTAACCGCTTAGAGAGTGACAAATTCCTCAATTACATGACCTTTGTTTCCTATAGAAACTGAGGTGCCGCATATATACTACGGTGAAGCATCGATAAAACAACTTGCTAAAATCCAAGAATATAAAATTCACATGCAACATAAAGCACACGAACAAATAGATATAAAATATGGTTAACTTCAATCACCAGGAAATGCCGTAGTTCCCTCTCTTTAGATTCTAATTTCAATGGCAGTAAAGTATCTAAGCGATCAGAATGTCGAAGGATTAGACGTAACTTTTCCCCTGCAAAGCAAATTTAGAACAAATACACACTGTACGTAGACTGTTATTTTCCTTTGTTTTATCTTCAATCGCCCTTTGAAGTTCGAATATACTTCTTGGTTCATCACTAATCAATGGTATAAAGGATTAATAACTACCTATTGGGAGGCTTTTCATCGTGATCAAGTCGAAGTGATGACCTTATGCTTGTTTCGGTAAACTTTTTGTGCTCACCGGAAAAAGCCATGCAGAAACGAGCACGTAACGAGAAAAACGAGCAGCAAACTCTGTCATAAAGGCATGTCAACGAACATTAAGAAAATGGCCGCTGTACGTCCAGTGTTCCAATATCCAATATCTTTTTGCACGAGCTAGTGTAAACCAATTGATTTCTTTTCGCTCGATTCTTGTTTTTTCGGTACGGTTCCAGGTGTTCGGTAATGTCCAATGGATGGAGGTCTAGCCACTCGACTGTCTAATTCTAATCAGCTGGCAGTTGGTTGTTTGTATGTCTCGGGATTTGAACGAAAACGTTTGTTTCAGGGAAAGAGGGTTTCTGGATACCAGCAGCCATCAAATTACCAGACCGGAGATCAGTTAGTTGCAATGTGCAGAGTAATAAGGATAAAATTCTAATGCTAATATGAATAAAATTTCAGAACTGAGTAATATATAGATGAATTTAGTTTGTTAATTGGTAGTGAAGATTGTGAGAGAGGACCATAGTGTAAGCGAGGGGGAGGGAACAGAGATGAGAGGCGAGATAGATTAATAAAGGGATCTGAGGAGATGGCAATGGTAACAACTAGCAGGTGTCAACATATTCATCATGTACATCTTGTCCAAGTGGGAGGTGATAATTCGTACGTGAGTATATGATTATCAAGTCTCTTTTTAGAGCAGTTCACTGAGAGGGCTGTGATCACCTTAGCTGGGAGAGCATTCCAAGTTGCGACGACTCGCAATGAGAAAAAGTGTGCACGAATCTGAGTATTCGATCCTTGATGTGCAATTTTTCGAGGATTGCCTCGAGGGGAGTGGTGGTGATGCATCCGTAAGATGCTCACGTTGGGATGGTTTGGCGTGCTTAACATGTTTTACGCCATATTCAAATCACCTCTGATTCTCCTGTAGCTCAAAGGAAATAATCCCAAGAGCTGAATTCTACCGTCGTAAGGTTTATTTTTTAACCCTATCACCCATTTGGTTGCTTGTCTCTGCACTCTATCCAATAGATTTATGTCCCTTTTAAGCACAGGGGGTGCGAGGACATTGTGAACGTCCAGGTGTGTCCGCGCGTACGTCTTAAATAGTGTCGAAAATAACTGCGGGGTGATATCATGAAGTTGTCTTCGCATAAAGTGAAGAGTCGCATTTGCCTTGGCTGCGTCCCCTAAATCGTTCGGACTCGTGTGGAGGCTTTCTGTGGTTATTAAACCGAGATCATACCTAATTTTATATGCATAGTTTGTACAAGAATATTACAAAGCTGTGGATAGTAAAACTTTTATTTTGAAAGATATTATTTAGTATCAGGTTCAGTGGTGAGAACCTAACACCAATTTCATCAGCTTGAGGTGGTATACTTTTACGAAGACAACACAATTGCTAAAATATAAACATTATTGTATTTGATTCCGACAATATTTGTTATATTGTACTCCTTTTGTTCATCTGCATTAAAAACTATCTCTTGCGCGCCAAGCGTGTCATTTCCATTCCGCTCTTCTGCTTGGTGGTTGTTAGCCGCTTCTGTACTCCGGTCTCGATATTATTTCGATATCACGATGCTAGCGCTAAATATACTTCTTCATCCAGAAATGTCTTTCCTTTGACTTCTGGATTATCAGGCTTTACCTTAGTAATCCCGCGAAGGTATATATTTATTTTAACTGCCTATAATTGGTGAGCGACGACCATGAACACACATCATATTCGGTGAGTCTGTCATTTCCCTATCCAATTTTCTTACTTTTTTAACCGCTGAGTAATATATACCGATATTTTCATATATGTATATATTATAACCGCAGCAGCATTTGAAAATGGTAGATAGACCGAAAAATGACGATTACCTAGTAGATTCACAAGTACAGGTTCCCAATTTTCTGCCGGTCGCGTTTATCCTCCACGACCCAGAGGTCTTGTTTGAGGCACTGGAATCTCAGTTTTCGATCCGCCTCATCACTAACCAGCGGCAGATGTTTTCCTACGCCCATAAGTCCCTTTCTGGGGACCGCATTGCTGCTGTCCGTGAGGTTGTCCTCAGTCCCACAGGGTTAGGGTGTCCACCGATCGCCTTAAACAAGCGATTCTCAGACACTTCCTCCCGTCGATGGTGGAACAGTTGAGAATATTATTAGCACATCACCCTCTTCCGAACCGAGCCACCACCTCACGCGCCTGCAATCCTTAGCAGGACCCAAAACTGCAGACTCTGACTCTGGAGCAAGTACCGGCTGATGCTGGTTCTGCCAGACTTTTAGGCCTGGTGCCCGTCATTGTCGAGTCCCCTGCCCATACAAGCCAAAAAGGAAACGCGGCAGTACTAGTCGGTCAAGATCTTAGTATCGTCTGAGTAGATCAATGCCGGTGAGCTAACTAAGCCTAACAGGTCGTTAATAAATATCAGGAAGAGAAGTGGGCCTAGGATGGTCCCCTGTGAAACTCCCCATCTGGATACTCGCTAGCTCGCGTGCACTTTATTTACCTTAGTGCGAAACTTTTTATTCTCAAGGTAGTTTCTGAGCCAAGATATGAGTGGGTCAGTGAACCCCATTTCCGCAAGCTTGGCGATTAGGCGTGAGTGGGGTGCTGTCAAAGAGTTTCGCAAGGTCAAGTAATATTAAGGGCACTGATATTTGACGGTCCAAACAGGATTTCCAACTGTCCCATGCCATCGGAAGATTAGACGCGTACGACCTGCCTTTCTGAAACCCATTTTGAGCTTCATAGAGTATTTTATTCTTATACATGTACTCCCTCATTTGTTCGTCCACTAGCCCTTCCATAACCTTTGATAATATTGGTAGTAGTGCAACCGGTCTGTAACAGTCTGGGTTCTTTCTATCTCCTCCTTTGAAGATTGGAGAGAGTAGCTTGTTTCCATTCAGCCGTGAATTGTTGTGACTGAACAGGTCACATATCGGTGAACAGAGGACTTCTGCACATTGTTTCATGACTATGGGGCAAATATTGTCACAACCTGGTGACTGACATGGACGTACGGATTTCAGTTTCCCTAGTACTAAGTCAGGAGTGATACGGATGTTCCCTAAACCGTCATCTGGCAGTGGGTTGGTGTAGTACTCTGAACATGTGGCTGCCTTTTTTAACTGTTCAGAAAAGTTAGTGTTGAAGATCTCAGCCATCTCTAGGTTGGTGAGGTCTTCCCCGTTTGGTCCTTTTAGAGAACACAACCCTTGATTAGTAGGTTTTCTTTCGGACATGAACCTAAACAGGCGCTTCGGGTTCGCCTATATTTTAGCGGCTAGCTTCACCTGGAATTGTCTCCTGTCGCCTCGAACTTTGGTATCGCATCTGTTTCTCAATGCCAAGTAAGAACTGCGATCGGAATCCTTCAAGGAGACCTTCCACTTGTGCCAGGCTCTCCTCTTCGCCTGTAGCAAGCGTTCAGTACCTCGCCTAACCCGGGTTCTTCTATTCCTGAGTGTGTGGTGTGACTGAGGTACATTGTCCACGACAGCGTTTTGGATGTTATCTCCCATTGTTTGCCACCTTATTACTTAACATGACACCAGGGAGATTAGGAGGTGAACACCGAGATATTTAACATACGAGACATTCAAAAAAGGGATTTAGGAAAGAAGAATTTGGTAGTGAACAATATAACTAGAAGGAATAGAGTCCGAAAGTACTCCAAAATTGCAACTATACCTTTGACCGTATTAGTAAGTAACTTTGCGTGTATCCAGTAACTTGTCCACAAGTCCTATGTTTGTGAGTGAGTGAATGAATGTATGCTGCCGAAGCAACTAGAAAAAGAGCAGTTGAATGAGGCAGCTAGACCTACCGCACAATGGTTCTGTTTGGCCGAAATTGTTTTAAGACTGTCGGCCGATGAATGGAGATAACTTTTTATATCTTTCGGGGTGATAAAGTATCCCAAAAATGGATTGTTTCCCGTAAATGGAATGAAGTTAGAGAGGACACGTCAAATTCGAAGCGCGCAATAGATTGTATGAATAGAGGAAATTCAGAAGCACTGAATTGTTAGTAATTATGTTGATTCACAGAGTACAACAATGAAGCGCAGTGATCTGACGCTTTTGTGATATTTCATTTTTCATTTTTCTTTTTAGCGCTGTAGCTCAAGTAGTCATGAGTGAGTTGTTATTCACTATCATTGTCCAGATCCGCTTGGAATAGGATTTCTTGCGTAGGAAGTTAAGACCAGTACAAGGTTACGAACATGAGTTGTAGACGCGGTCATCCAACTGAACAACCTTTTACAGGGAATATGTTAGCAACTTTAACATTTTGATCTTGCCTGTCGATTGGCATACGTCTTGTGACATGTTGTTATTTGACAATAAATAATTATTTTTATTATGATTACGACCATTCTTTAGAGTTTTACACAGCCCTGGTTATGGTGCTTAGTCCTGAGACCATTTGCAATTACATATGGAGTTGCTAAATTATTCGTCCTCGCAAAAGATCATGGTAACAATAAACCCGAACATCACAATCCATGAACCTCTACACGCAGTAACTGTATATCGTGTTTTAGCGTTCACATAGTCTTTGAACAAATTCGTATGCCGAATAAGTCTACCTTTCAAACAACTGAGTCAATATTCAGCTAATTTCTTATTATTGGGTAACTTTTGGTCGTGACTCCAAGGCAGAGCTATTCGATAGTGTCCATTTAACATTTGCACCTAATCTGATACGGCGCTGAATCTTCCACAGACATCGATGGAGTACGACTAAATGGGTCGTAGATTCTCCCCACCGTCATGAATTCTGGTCGGATACACCACACTCCCTCCATCTGTATCCGTGCTGGGATATAATAATAATAATTTATTCTCAAATAACTACGTTACAAGAGTCACGCCAGTTTACAGGCTAGATCAAATTGTCACAAATGCTTTCACAATTACTGTAAAGTTATAGCAGTTAAATTAAGTATAAGAGTCAGTTTCTGATTGCATATTTACACCATGTCACTGACAGAAACAGTGTAATACAGCCACATTTTCAATAGTAGAGTACAAATAA